CTTAGGATTTCTAAATGATGCTTTGTGGTTTGTAAATCGGGTTTTAAAGGTATTTTCTGTTAATCCTACATAAGTTTGTTTAGGCTTGTCGTCGTTTGTTTCCACTGTAGCTCTATATACAAACCGATTTCACCAAGCATCGTCCTGACATGGGGCAATCTATTATTTTCCTACAATTGCATGTTTTAGGCTGATTTTTTACTATTTCTTTGGAAAGAATAGCTTTGTTATGTCCGTCGATTATGTTTTTTATATTGTTCATGCAACTATAACTTAATTTGACTGTGTTTCTATTGAATATTTTGTGTAGCAAGTGTTCCTTGGGAAATTCTTCGTCTAGTATTTTCAGAAACGTTTTTCCAATGTTGGTTTCTACATTTTTACTATATGGTGGGTTATACCAGATTATATTTCTGCTTCTGTTTTTGCGATTCTTGGTACCGTTGTCAGTCTTTTCTTCATTTGAGTATTTAAGTTGGTGTTTATATCCACTATTTGTAATAGACCTTTGGTAGATTGGTGTTGCTATGTCAAAAGATTCTTGGTCATATGATATTTCGCATAGACGTTTTGTTAATGCCTATGGGTATGTTCTTGATGATATTCGGTGGGTGGTTCGATTCGGTATGCACATATAACGGTGTGTTGTTCGGTTTGTTGTATGGAACATGTTTGCCATTCTTCAGGTTGAGTGTTACGTCCAAAAAGTTCACGAATTTTTTTGTTGGATTCAATTGTAATCTTCAGGCCGTGTTTAGAAAAGATAGAGCACAGGTCTTTTTTAATGTTTTCAATTTCACGTGGTTTCGCATCAGATACACCTAGACCATCATCTCGATATAGCCCAAAGTTTTTTCCATGTTTCTGTGTTATTTCGTTAAGTAAATATAATCCAACTAACTCACAAGTTTCTGCTCCATCGAAGCTTCCCATAGTTACGTCAAATAGATTGGATGTCGCTTTCTTGCCCCATGGTTCACCTGACTTGTAAAGGCATGATTGTTTTGCATGTATAATGATTTGTCTTTCCTCAGAACTGATGTCGTGGTATATTGACGCGAAATCGAGTGCATTATTTAGCAGTTCGGCTGAAATTGAAGGGTAGAAATCCACTACGTCGAATGCTATGAAATAGTATTTTTCTTTCTGTTCGATGTTGTTAAACCATTTTAGTGTGGCTGCTGTGCTTTCCATTGGTTTAATCCTGTTTTATCTTCTATTTTTTTTTTTTTTATTTTTTTTTTTTTTTTTTTTTTTTTTTATTTTATTTTTTGCTATGTTAGCCACCTTACTTACAAAGGTACATATGCATTTCTGTGCTTAGAGATGCATTATTTGTAACATTTCATAAGTTAATCCATAACAATAGCTTAAAGTTAAGCAATTTTTATTACACGGGAGTTCAAAAAGGACATAAAATGTTTTGTTTTTTTTCCAGGAAATACGGATTAAACAAAAAATTAAGATACGTTGTGATTTTGGATGTATTCTTATCGCATCACTTTACAATAAATGTTCTTTATTTTAGCGGTATGTTATATATTTTAGGATGTGTTACGATGGAAAGTATTGTAAACAACGAACAACATCCCTTTGTTAAAATAAACGGAGATCCTGGACATTGCTTTCCGGGGTGTGGTAATCACACTATAGTTGGCGTTACAAAAACAAAGGTATCCTTTGATATAATTAATGTTACTGTCAAACAATTTCATATGTCTGTACATGTATATATCTTTTATAACTTTAGTATCTTTAGTTATTTGGATGGTTGTAGAAGCATATGGTAAAATAGGTTCTTCTTATGTTTGTAAGAGTGAATACTGAGGCAACAATGTAACCATGTAAAGCATTGAAGACTCAGTTTGATCGAGTCTGTTCATGACAGTTAATGAAAAGTTCAACATCCCTCATGCCATTGACAGACAATAGGTAAAGAAGCATTCAAGCCTTAAAACTAAAAGAGCTTGAATAATGATTTATTATTCATTTAACAGGAAAATATAATTACAATATATCAAAAATATAATTACTAAGGCGAAGTACGAGCGACCCATTAAAATAGAAAGAAAATGATTCTTAAAAAGAATGCCATAAACGCCAAAATTGAAAATGTTGCAGGCTCGGTTTGATTGTGTCTGGAGATACAAGCTAGCGTTCACGCCCCTTAGCACCGACTTAAGCGTGCCTTTCTATGAAAAGCGAGGCATGGTCACAAAGTAAAACTTAACGAGAAAATAATTTGCGTGAACTGAATGCATTGTAATTGTTTAAATCTCAAATACATTCACGTATATTGCTTTTTTAAGAATCGAAATGGTTGTACATTATATATAAATAAATATACATGTGTAATGTTCATATTTTTGTGTTATGTTAATCGAATGCAATAATAATGCAGATGTGATATAGAACTCTCTTGACACATTTTAATTTTTGCCAATTTCACCTTTTTAAAAATTAATTTGAACACAGCTGTACTGTATACAGGATACAACAATATCATATAAAAGAAAACTATGTTCTGAAGTAAATGGTCAATCTTTGGCTACTTTATGACCACCTGTTATAAAATTGCTTTACAAAAGAAAAGCTCAGGGAAAAATTCCTTGCAACATTAGTACCATATATGTCTAAGGTAATAATGTGTATTTATTTTACCTTAATGAAACTGTTTCACTTTTATAATCTTTATCTGTAAAACCAACAATAAAATTAACGACAAAAAATGTTTAAATTCTGACTTTTATCAGTCACATCCTTACCATGCATGCTTTGTATTTCAGTGTTATCTGAGTTCAGACATAACGTTAACAGATCCTACACAGACCAACTGTACTCACAAATGTAATCATCCTATTGTTTCGTGTGGTTATGATCATACGGTTTTATGAAAATATGCTTACTTATCAATTTACAAAAAGAACCCAAGTGGTAAGTTCCTTCGATATATCTACGGCATTACTAAATATTATTCCTTGTCACCGAGATCTATCATAGTAATCTTAGAATATAATTTACAGATTAGTATGGTTTTAGTCAAGCTGAACTATCATAACAGTTTTCTTTAAGGCTCTCTACTATACATTCTACAATATTCAGTTATTAACAGGACTATTTTGCCGCAGTAATAAAAATTCCTCTACATTTATACTTGTTTCTTATGAATACCAACATTTAACTAGTAAATGAAGTAAATATTGAACAAGGCTTTATTAAAAATACGTTTTTCGTTGAATGCCATTGACAGGATATTAATATTCTATTATCATATTTCTTTTTGTTTGATTCATTTTGTTATGCGGCACACCAACACAGTATAGGTAATATGGCGACGTTCTAGCTTTACTGGTACAAGAAAATCTCAGGTGCTCTTCCGGCACGAACGGACACCTGAATAGAACAACCGACGTTCCGTACGCTAGCTGGATATATATGTCACGTACCAGCTTCTTTTGATTATATTACTGCTAATCTACGACTCAAAACAAAGACAGTATCATACGATGAGACCAATAAAAATCTATGTTGGAATAGTTGTTTATTTCAGTCACGGCTAGCCGCAATATTCAATTCACAATATGAGGAACATAACTGTCTCGATTTGAATCCTGTCAACCCAAAAAGATTTTATTGGCAGAATGTACCTTTGCCTTAGTACCAATGTGTGCAAATGTTAAGTATATATTTAATCATTATATCAATTAATCATTGTTTTGATTGCTTTTAACTAATTGTTGCATTAATACTACTTGTTTGCAACGTCGGTTTTCACTGTAGTAACGAGACGCCCATATATTTCTTACGAAGCAACGCCTTGAGAGACGGTGACAGGTAGCCCTAATATTAATTTATATATTGCCGGTGTTATGGCCGAGCAGCTTGGAATATATGCCTAAGAATTTTCGGTGGTGTCTTGAAAACACTTTTAATGTTTCAAATGCCTGGTGTTTTGAAATTACCGGTATATACACGTATTTTGTTACGTACAGCAGGGATAGACATAGAGTTGGTATTGACCAAGCGGCGGACTTTGCTATTTCAACAAAGCATCACTATGCTTTGAATAATTTGCTTACAATTATAGGCGATTTTTAACAAACTGTCGATGTTGTAAACGCATTTGACAATATTTTGCAAAAGTATACACATATATAAACATACTCAATATTAATGATGACATGATTGGATAAAACTTAGAGATGTATTAAGTCAGCTTTATGTTCCTGTTTAAAAGACTGTCAGAATGCCTGTATTTATCCTGAGAGGTACAGATAACATTTCTCAGTCTTTCTCTTGATAATATTGCTAAATATTCATCCAAAAACAAATGATATATATTAAAAAAGCATTAAATGTTCTTTCTCTATTTGAGACTATCTTTTTCGAAATGAAGGTTTACGAGAGACCTCAACTGGATATACATTTTCTATTAAAGTTCTTTGCAAATTATAAAGCATGAGTAAATTGATATTTTCGTATTTTATAATTTGTATAGTTAAATGTTTTAAGTGTACACTACTTGCTGCAAAATTATGATGCACTTTTAATTGGCAAAAGAAAGCAATTAAATTGACTAAAAATTTGTTACAAATGAATTTTGAAAAGCTAAGGTGCCGTATTTGATATCTTTGTGTAAGCAAGTTAAATTAATGTTTATGATTTTAATGATATTTAAAATATTGTATTCACATTGCATTAAATTTTAATCGTTTTTTATTATTATTTTCATATATATATTATATATATATATATATATATATATATATATATATATATATATATATATATATATATATATATATATATATATATATATATATATATATATATATATATTTTAGAAATTGATTTGAATATTTATTCGCTAAATGTCTTTACAAATATTTTTTCGCTTAATTTTCTTTGTCATTTCTTAAATAGGAGCTCGTGTCCAAACTTTATACCGTCAACAATACTCAACATGGATTGATGCAGCAAATGCTTGTTTTACAAATAAAATGTTTCCAACTGAGTATTCAAATGCAAAGACTGTAAATCGACGCAATGGATCTCAACTGTGGACTCGAATGTTTAAAACAAACATAGTTTACAAATATGACTCATACATTCCAGGTAATAAAACAAAACTAAGCTATTTCAACTTTGATAAATAAAAACCTTTTTTCCAAAATATTACTCATGGAACTTAAAAACTAATCAATTAACGTACTGTAAACGGTTATTGTAATAAATATTTTTTTAATGTCATTTTTATGAAATTATATATGAGGGATACAAACGCACAACTTAATATAATGCATGTTATTAAAGTTTATAATTTATATAATCACCAGTGCTATGCTCAGTTTGCAGTTGTTAAGAACAATTATGGTGAAATAAACAACAATATATTTGTTCGCATATATGAACTAACTACTTTATTCGTGTTATTTTTTCAATAAATATAATTTAATAGAATTACTGCGCTATCTATTCATATTTCAGGTGAACGATCTCGCGATCAAAAATTTTATGGTTACTTAACTAAAAATGTTGGAGACGGAGTGACATTGCAATTTACAAAAAAGATCTCAACCATAGAATACTCTGCGATGACGGTACAATTTAGATTAACGTATTTTATTCAAGTGTAAATAATCATGTTAAGTTATACAAATTACGTCACTTATTGTTTTTCTTTAGCTGTTTTGAGAACACAGTGCTCATAGTAGACTTGTGATTGCCATTTACACGTCGCAAGTGTTCGCGTCCGTCGTCAATTGTGATTTCCATTTGTCTGTCGCAAGTGCGGACGGCGTCCGTCGTCAATTGTGATTTCTATTTGTTCGTCGCAAGTGTGGACGGCATCCGTCGTCAATTGTGATTGCCATTGTTAGTTACACTGTGGCTCCGCCCCCCCCCCATCGTCAATTGTGATTCCATTTGCTTCTTGCAAGGTGGTTCGGCTTCCGTCGTCAATTGTGATTCATATTTGTACGTTGCAAGTGTTCGCGTCCGCCGTCAATTGTGATTTCCATTTGTTTGTCGCAAGTGCCGACGGCGTCCGTCGTCAATTGTGATTTCTATTTGTTCGTCGCAAGTGTGGGCGGCATCCTTTGTCAATTGTGATTGCCATTTGTACGTTACACGTGTGCGCGTCCGTCGTCAATTGTGATTTCCATTTGTTCTTTGCAAGTGTTGGCGGCTTCCGTCGTCAATGTGATTTCCATTTGTTCGTCGCAAATGTGGGCGGAGTCCGTCGTCAATTGTGATTTCCATTTGTACGTTACACGTGTGAGCGTCAATTGACAATTGTGATTGCCATTTGTTAGTCGCACGTGTGAGCGTCCGTCGACAATTGTGGTTTCCATTTGTTAGTCGCACGTGTAGGCCTCCGTCGACAATTGTGATTTCCATTTGTACGTCGCACGTGTGGGCGTCCGTCTTCAATTATGATTTCCATTTGGTCATCGCACGTGTTGGCGTCCATCGTCATTTTATTTGTTATACGACTTCTTATTTAAAACTGCTGGGCCAAAATCAAAGCTTTATAGAGGAGATTCTCTTCGAATCCTGTAGAAAAAGGAATTCTAATCATACATCTGGTTATAAATATAAGACAGTTCCATGTCAAAAACTGTGGGTCAGATTAGATAATATTTCACAGACTAATTTGTTTTCTTATACAAAACGCTGCCACTTGGGGCCTATTTGGGGGGGGGGGGATAGGGAGGTGTCGGCAAACTACGACATTTCACGACTTCCAGAAAAAAATTGAACATTTGAACATGTCACATCACAGATAGTGTTTTTTTTTATAGATTGAATCAGACATATTGAAATACTTTTTCCAGATATGCACCTTTAAAATGTGCTCTTGGTATAACTGGTGACTCCTTTGTTCTCAGTTTATTTAAATATTGAATATTTTACGGCATCAAATATATAGTTAACTTATCAAGGACTTTTAAATGGCTTACATTTATCTCGTTACTGACTATATAAAGACAGTGTGAAATTGAAATTTTCGACATTTTCATTTATAAAGATAAAGAGCTTCCGTCTACGGTAAGTATCTTCCCCATTGCCTCTAGATTTTATTTCTTTTATTAACAACCCCCTTCCCCCGGTCTCCTTCCCCTTTGTGGGCCTCTTATTATTTTCTTTGAATTCCTAGTCAGTTATAAATTATTTATCATTTAATGTTTAACCTGTCCGTGCTCAGTCTTTGCCCTGCCTGTTTTTGTTTGGGGTCCGCCTGGGCTCCTTGCCATTGGTTCTTGTTGCTGGGTCATATGGGGGTTGCGTTCATTGAACGCCGCCTTTCCTTGTTGATCTTGTTTATCATATTTTACTGTTCTTATTTATTCGTAAGAGTAGATATTCTTATAACAAGATAAACCAATAGTAACAAGTTTTGAACATTGAACTTAAAACTCTGAAATCGATTTTATCAGCGTACATTATGCTGCAAAATTTTATCAAAAGTGCTAGATATGCTTACAATGTTTGTTATCACTAGATACAATGGCAATGATTAAATAAGTAATTCTTTTACCGAAGTGGAATTATATCTTTTTTGGCGACCGCGCCGAAGCGCGGCGCCCCTTTATGGAATGAAATCAGATTTTGTGAAAGGGCGACAGCAGCTTCTCGAGCCTTTTAGTCGGTCATAATAAAAGCCGATCATTCCGATCGGTATAAGGGTGCTTGATTATTATTAATTAAAAATGAAATGTCACGATATGTACAATGAAAAAGCGAACTGGAGGATTTCGCAATGCAAACATTTTTAAATGCGTCTCTTCGGTTTTTTTATTTATCATTTTGTAGTACACAGTGGGTTATTATGGTATGTTAAAATAGAATGATGAGTTGATGACCTAAATATTCCGAAAATCTATTTATAGAGGGATCTATTTATAGATGGATGTACTCCTATCGGTAATTCCGGTCTCTCCCCGGTCTTATTTTGACCGGGATACTAGTGACCGGCGAATAGTATCACACGTTTATTGTCCGGTCTCCCGGTTTTGGAGAAGATGTTTTGATATCGTTACAGAACAGAACAAATATTTTACAGATAAATAAGCTTTTTTCCAAAATGAATGTTTGTCACTTAGTTTGGTTACAATAATTAATAAACATAGATCAACTCTCAAATTTATTGATTATTATTATACATAAACATACAATTCGAAAAAAACAAACAAAAAACAACAACAACAACAATAGCATGTTTCATTTTATCTATATGAGATAAAAAACAATAAATATGTACAATAATTGTGAAAAAGGTACATTTGTATGGTTTTAATATGACACTATCAACTTTAAAACATTTTATTTAATTTGTCATTCGTGTTTAGTAAAGATGCCGAGGAGTTATTCAATTAGATTTTATTAATTATTTAATTGATTGATAATTCAAAAACTGATAAAGAAAAATACAAATGTACATGTACATGGTTTAAGAATAAACAATATTATAATTATATTGAAAGATTAACCATAATTTACTGACTTTTTCCAGTTAAGTTTTGACTTATAATCGTCGGTCAATATGACAATTGAATTCTTAAAATTTATTTTACAATTTTAATAAAAAAAGAGTAGTAAAAGTAAAAAACTCAGTATTAAAATAGCACATAAAAACACAAAAAAGAGAGGAAAAGAATATTCATAAAATCTGTATTTTTTTTATTAAGATAGATATTACAATTATTGTATAATTAACAAAAATGCTCAACATGACATGGTAATATAACCAGTGTCATATTTTTACTAAGTGTGAACAGATACCTTAAGAGGGGGTCTTCGCTAATAGCGATTACATAATAAGGGACAATTCCACAAGTGTGGTGTTGATCATGCGTTAAACATATGGATTATAAATGATTGTATACATGTATATCCGTTGCTGTTAATAATCACGATCATAAAGAAATAACAAGTAATATTCTAATCTCTAGCATGCCAATCAAAGTTCATAATGAACAATGTCTTCCGTCCGTTCATTTTGGTAAAAACCAATTAACCATTGAAAAGTTTATAAGAATATCTTGACATCATATGTCTACTAGTTCATCTTCACTTTCTGCATTCTTGCTTGAACGCCCTTTGATGCTTTGCATCAATGCTTTTCTTGTTAAAATATTTGATTATTTTAAGTTTATAACCTTGCTTATATGATATCAGTGAAAATGTTAAGGACAAGTGAAAATGATTAGATGTTATTGAAGTCCTAAAATTAAATGTTTCAGTACATTTTCTTCAACAACCAAGAACACAAATCACCATGGTCATTGAATGTTAAATCACAATGATACATTATGCCCCTCTATGTATTTATGTTGTTGTTTCTTTTCCCACTATTTCACTGTTCAAGAGCACAATAAAGGTTAATCTTTAATTACAGTTTACTGCATTGTACTTCATTGATTTCAGGAAAAAATGAAAAATCAACTCGTTCAACAAAGTCATTGTCTTCTACAGAAACCGTCACGACCATACCCTTGAATGTCTCTTCCACTACCATAAATATAAACGGTAAAGTTTTAAGCACCAGTTTAACACTTTTCTTTAAAAAAAATCTTCTTTTTTGGCACTATAACGATTGTAGAAAAACAAGTTTCTTGAAAAATATGGTTCAGACGAGAAGAACACCGTTTTCATATTCAGTAAAAATGTTTATTTAACTATAACTTATGTAAATATATAAAGAGTTGCCTATGATCGAGCTTAAATACAAATATTCTTTATATATTTTGAAATGAACGTCTCCTGAATTTTGTTACTAATTTCTGTAATTTTTCAAATTTCAAGATCAAAAACACGTAATCACTTTGTATGAGAATCTGGTCAGACTGCAAGTTAGAGTGAAGCTGGCGTCCGTTATCGAGTAAATTTATTGACTTGAAACCTCTTGCCCTTCACAGCCGTAATTTCGAATCAAGCAAAGAACTTTGGATTCTTTCATGTGAAGAAGCTATCCAGCTATCTTACGTAACGTCGATGATTCTACTTAGGTAATGACCGCTCGTTCCTGAAGTAATGTACGAAAGGGCACCTGAAGTCAACCTCTACCAGTGAAGCTAAAAGGTCGCCATATACCTCTATTTTGTTTATGCGACGTAAAAACCCAATCAAAATGAAAATAACACTGGAATAGCTGATTATTGATCTAGTAGGTTTAACAACAAAGCCGTTAGTCTCGATATGACTATAAATTTAGTTTTGTATTTCATTGTAGGACAGAGTCCGTTTAGTGAATACATTATTATTGGAGTATGTGTTTCTTTGGTTCTGCTGTCTTTGATCATTGTGTCCTTGGCATGTTTCTGCTGGCAAAGGTAAACCATTTATTAAAATGTAATAAGAATACTTTAATAATGAACTGAAATTATAGGAATTTGCGAGAAAAAAATCTTTGCTTACTATTATCAGAAATTCGAGATTTCATTTTCTATGATTTTGACTTCTAAACACTTCTTACCATGCCTTTTTCATAATTGTGACTTCTAAACACTTCTTACCATGCCTTTTTCATGATTGTGACTTCTAGACACTTCTTACGGTGTCAATTTGAATGTTTATGACTTTGTAACTTACTTATTGTCCTTTATTTTCATGCTTATTTCATGTTTGTGACTTCTTGAAATTTCTTATGATGATGTTTATGTTACTTGTTGCGATGCCTCTTTTCATGTTTGTGACTTTTTGATTGCTCTTTCGATGCGTTTTTTTTAAATGTTTCTGACTAATTGATTGTTCTTTTGATACCTTTTTTGTTTGTGACTTCTTGACATCTTTTACGATGACGTTTTTCATGTTTTTTTTTGTATATAGAAATAGCTTTGGTAATGAAAACGTAGGAGAAATGTAAAAATATTATCTGACCGAATGTTAAATAAATTTTGTAGGGGAAACGTCTGTGTTATTAACAGAGGATATTAGAGGATTATCAACTAAATGACTTTTACGCTCTAAATAATTGTGCATTTATCAGACATCTTATAACTTATTATACTTATAGAGGTACAAATGTATTTGTAATATGCACTTTTAGACATATCAGATGATAAAATTTAACATCGGGCGTGCTAAAACAACATTATCTTGCTTTTAAAAAAAATAAAAACATGTTAATAACTTATGAACAAAATATGCTTTTTATGAACCTGTAAATGTATTTTTGTTGTGACAGAATCGTTCCAAATGTATCGAGTCAAGCGTATTACATATCACCCACATATTCCACAAGAATTAATGAGAATAATGTAACAGTTACGGACAATGATCATAGAGACGTACAAGATGAAAACAGTGATTTAACAAGTCAACATTATTACGCCACTCCAACAGAAATTCATTATGAACAGAATCAGGAATTGCAAAGCTTCAGGAATGCAACAAGAGAAGTTAACCAGAAGGAGGATCATGACACTGAAGAACTAACAAATACAGGGGCATACGAGTCGTTGCAAGAACACAATAAAGAGATGCACAACTATGAAATGCCTACTAATGTAGCGTACCAGACAGGGGCATACGAGTCGTTGCAAGAAGACAATACAGAGATGCACAACTATGAAACGCCTACTAATGCTGCGTACCAGACTGTCGATGAGAGCATGATAGATGATCATGAGTATAGCATGCTTCAAAATTAGATTTATGATAATTTTGTGTTGATCATGATGATGTGGTAATGATGATGATATTATAATTATGATTATGATGTGGTGATGATGATATAATTATGATACTATTGTGTTGATGATGATGATGATGACAATGATGATGTTGATGATAATATTATCTTGGCGATAATAATGCGATATTGATAATTGATATTGGTAATTTGATGATAGTTATGATGACAAAGATGTATAGAATGTCATTTGGATGCATGTATGTTATGTATGTTATGGCCGTTAAAAGGTATAAAGCTAAAAAAATCATAGAAAATATTTTTATAAAAAATTATTATCATTATAATTATATTGTAAACATACTCTCGATTCTCGAAAGAGTTGTAGAATGTTACTGTTATTTATAACTCGTGAACATGGTACGTAAACAGAATGACATTTTCTCGAACAAAATATTACGATGCTAATTGTAAACAGGATTTAAACCATTTTAAGCAATGAGTGTGTGCATGTGCTATTCGCACTTAAGGTTAAATACTTTTATACATGTATTTCTTTCCTATAGGCAGTTAGGTGGAATTTATTCTTAAAATTCAAGAAATATTTTTGCAGCATATATATAGCTTTATATACATTAATAACAGACACATTTTGCTTATTATTTTCATCACCATGTAAACCATGTGCATGTATATACATTACTGTTTAAATGTAGATATTGTAATTCCAATCATTAGATTAGGAATCCTTAATTGATTATTTTTCTACGTTGTTTAAAAGTCAATGTATACATGCGCCATACTTAATTTTTCATTTCACTGTCTTTCTATTGTAACTTCTTTGTTAATTTATAGAAAAAGAGGCACAGATAAAAAGTTTGAAGGGCATTTTTCAATAGCCGTTGCTTTTTTTGTTGTTGTAATTCTACATGCATTTTTCTGATGTAAGAACATATTTATTTTTCCTTTAATGGTTCAACATGTTTGTAATTAATTTTTAATGCTATTTTTGATACTCTGTGAAAATTTACACCACTCTTTTTTTAACGTAACATGTGTGTCATCATAATCATGTGTATGTGTTGAAATTGTATATACAAAAACAATATTAATGGATTCCACTGGAGACTGGAAATATTTTACTGATTTTTTTTTACCAAATGATGTAAGTCTGGCCGTTAAAAGGTATAAAGTTAAAGACATCTTAGTAAATATTTTATTATCCGGTTTAGAATTGCACATAAATATATTTTCTTTTTAATATTGAGTATACTTCATTATTATCCTTTATAGATTTTTCCATTTTATGTGATTCATTTGATATACATGTATTTGTGATTTTCTTCAAATTTCATGTTTTTAGGCCTATAGGCTCATTAGGTTATATTTTTTCTGATCCTTCGGGATCATTGGTGCCAGCATTATTAAGTGTTTGAGAATTGAGTACTGCTTAAGCCGGTGTTAGGGGGCGTGAGGGATGTTGCAGTATTCATTATCCCTCATGAACAGACTAAATCAAAGCGAGTCTGCAATTCTCTTGTAATTTTGTTTTGTTCCATATTGTTTTTTTCCTTTAAGCTTAATGATTTGTTGTGAAGGATAAATTGTTAATCACTTGAATGACATAATTACCTTTATCATAGTTAACAAACACAAAAATAACAAAAACAAGGATATGTTTTCTTAATGTTGTTTTTACTACTGAAATTAAAATTACATTTACAGGTTGATAAAATAATATTTTGTCCTGGCAAAATTTTCATTCATCGTCGATGTTTCATATATAGAGGATATTGAATGAATGTAAGTTCAATACTTACTTTACTTGCGAGCATTATATCATTTTTTTCAACGAGTTCAATAAGTTCAGGAATGAACATATACAAATATAATATTATATTTATCGTATACTCAAAATAAAGACTATTTAAAGTGAAAAAGAATCATTTTTCATTTACGCTCCTATAGTGTAACGCTAACATTTATTGAGTCTTAATACAAGACACTAGGTTTGTATAACGCAAATAACATCACGAGAAAATACATACACGGACATGGAATACCATTTTTACAGAGTCGCAAAAGCGGCATGGGTAGGATATCGATACATAAATATACATAAATGACCAATGTTTGTCAAAAAATAGTTCTTTAAATAGCGTTGTTTTTTTTACCTGGCAAATAGTATTTATAAGACAGTATAAATAGGAACATTTTCCATTTTAACTGCAAAAATGAATTGAAATTAAGACACATAGTTATTTTTAAACATTACTTGTGAATTAGGAGACTCTTTAGTGATAGTCGACGGATTTTGTATCAGCCATATAGTTACAAAATAAATCAAGCGGCAAGTTACATACACATTCAGCTAGCGGACATATGTTAGTTACTTGAAGCTGGTATCAACTAGGGTTCTAATGCCCAATTGGAAAGAGGGCAATGGAAAAGAAATAACACGAAAACACATACATACACAGAAATACAAACAATCAATTGAATTTATGGCACGTTATACCAATGTAAAATACATCGTCATTTTTGTAACTGTTTCTCCTGAACACCATACACGTTATCTGTTTTAAACTTTCTAACTTCAGGTCCAAGATGATTATACTCATTATCTTCAAGTTCTTCACCTCGATTGTAGATGTTGTCTGTGTGTCTATCATTGTAACATGTTTTAGTTACCACGATACTTTTATCATACATTTCATCAATCTCATCTTGACTTGTTTCTGCCCGGTTGCTTTTATTAACAGCTTCGGCATGATCATAAGTAGCTTCAGCTTGGAGTTGGTTATAAACATTGTCTACTGAAACTTTTTCATATTGTGTAATATCTTTTGTGGTATCATACGTCAAGTCACCTGCTGCTGTATCATATGATTCATCAATGTTGACATCTTGGTACTCTACTGGTTCAAGAATAAAGTAGTTATTGTTTCCATGAACATTATTGTGCTCTGAAACTTCATGGTCATCTTCCTGATCATCGACTGTTTGTTTCGTTGTATTTCCTTTATTCAGAGCATTCCTGTCTTTGTGTTTATTTCTGTTGAATATAATGAATGTTTATAATAAGAAAACTAAGTGCAAACATGATAAGATGAAAGGAAACTTCTGTAAGCTTTCAATAGTTTCGGTCTGAAAAGAAATAAGAAATGAATATACTGACCGTAATGTTTGTAGAAACAAACGCAAGTAAATTAAATCGAAACAAGACAAGGTATTTTACACATAGCTTCATATTCATAAGCGGATGGTATGAATTAAAAAAATGTGACTATTTCACGGTAGCATATCTTAACAAGCAGGATGAAAACTGCATTATAGTATTCGTTTAAGTTTGGTATGATCTTAGAATATTAAAACAGAAACATAAAAGCATATGAGCTCGTTCAACTACTTTTTATCATTTCTCTAAATTTTGCACTATCAATCAAAGGGTAGTCATTTAGATGGATAGCAAAAATTATAAGTCTTTGCTAAATTTCACTGTGAGTTATCTGCGATTGAAACAAGCCAAATTTTCACATTCTAATGGGATATAATTCGAAAAACGATCTCGTTTTCTTGTTTCTGTTATCATATTAAGATCAAGTAAAATTGAATATAACTACTGTAATAAAGTTTTTCATTCTCCCTAGGTCTATATGAAACTGTTGCATATAAACGTCCTAAACAAGCATAGAAACGAAAGTATTCATAACAATTCATATTATGTACATGTTTGCATATCTCATAAAACTCGAATTTCTGATACTAGTAAGCAAAGATTTTTTTCTCGCAAATTCTTATCATTTCAGTTCATTATTAAAGTTATCTTATTACAATTAAATAAATAGTTTACCTTTGCCTACAGAAACATGCCAAGGAAACAATCATCAAAGATAGCAGAACCAAAGAAACACATACTCCAATAATAACGTATTCACTAAACGAACTCTCTCCTACAATGAAAGACAAAACTAAATTTATAGTCAAATCGAGACTAAGAGCTTTGTTGTAAAACCTACTAGATCAATAAATAGCCATTCCAGTGTTTTTTTCATTTTGATAGGGTTTTACGTCGCACAAACAAAGTAGAGGTCATATGGCGACCTTTTAGCTTCACTGGTGAAGTTCGGGATCAGATGCCCTTTCGTGCATTATTTCAGGAAGGAACGGTCGTTACCTAAGTAAAACCATCGACATTACGTAAGATAACTGGATAGCTTCCTCACATGAAAGAATCCAAACTTCCTTGCTTGATTCGAACCAACGGCTGTGAAGGGCAAGTTGTTTGAAATCAATAAATTTACTCGATTACGGATGCCAGCTACACTCTAACTTGCAGTCTGACCAGATTCTCATACAATGTGATTACGTGTTTTTGATCTTGAAATTTGAGAAATTATAGAAATTAGTAACAAAATTTAGCAGACTTTCATTTCAAAATGTAAAAAGAATATTTGTATTTAAACTCGATCATAGTCAACTCTGTAAACGCTGAACGAACGTATATATATACATAAGCTATAGTTGACTGAATATGAAAACTATGTTCTTCTCGTCTAAACCATATTTTTCAAGAAACTTGTTTTTCAACTATTGTTGTTTGCCAAAATAATAGAGATTTTTTTTAAAAAAAAGTGTTAAAATGATGCTTAAAACTTACCGTTTATATTTATGGTAGTGGGAAAAAATTTTGAGGGATTTTGTGAGGGTTTTCCTGTAAAAGAAAAATTTTTGTGACATAATTTTTTCTTTTACCATTTTCCTAAAATCAAAAAATGCATTTAATTTCAAAAAAAAATTAACCTTTTTTTTGTTCTTAAATGTAAAATTGGTGAAAAAAAAAATAATAAAATGCAGAATAATCATTAGTTTTACATTGATAAAAAATGATTTGTGTTTTTTTGTTAAAAAAAATTTTAAACTTCGTTTAAGGATTTAACACTATCATTTTATCATAAAAGTGGAAATTCTGGAAAAGGGGGCCCCTAAAGAAATGAACAACAAATTATATGAAAATTGCAACTCGGTTAAAAAAAGTTTTAAAAAAGATAAAAAGGTTTTTAAACCCATTTTGAAGACGGAAAAAAAATTTGAAATTTTTTGTTTTGTTTATTGGCGCTAATTAAAGCATTGTTTTGTTTTTATTTAATTGTTCCATTATTATTATTATTATTATTATTATTATTCATTGAGCAATCTTGGTGGTCAGTAACCAATACAACCTACTATTATTTCAACATCTGACCCACATATTTAACTAAAGTGGTTTATGTTGGTCGTCCAATACACACATAACAGGAAAGTACCATATTAAAATACCATAACTACCATGCTTTCTTAAATAACTGAAATAATTTTAAATAATATTTGATAGACGCCCACGTAAGGATTATTTATTTATTATTTTGAATTAATATAAAAAGAAAAAACACACT